TAAGGCCATGGCACTCTAGCCTGAGCAACAGAGTAACACTCTGTCCTCTGTCTCAAAAAAAAAAAAAAACCAAAAAAACAAACAAACAAAAAACCAATATTGTAGAGCTGTGGTCCCCAACCCCCTGTTAGGAAGTGGGCTGCACAGCAGGAGGTGAACTGTGGGTCAGCAATGGAAGCTTTGTCTGTATTTACAGCTGCTCACCATTGCTCACCATTCCCCCCTTCCCAACTCTGTGGAAAAATTGTCTTCCATGAAACCAGTCCCTGGTGCCAAAAAGGTTGGGGACTGCTGCCGTAGAGCACATATGTATCAATATATTTTTGAATATTTGTTCTGGCATATTTGTAGGAAGTTTCCTAGAAGTAGGATTGCTGGATCAAAAGTTATGTTTCAAAATAGTGGATGATATTTTCAAATAGTTTTCTAGAGAGATTGTACCAATTTGTAGTCCCATCAATAGTGGGGTTCTCCAACACTATCATTAAAAATCTTTTCAATCAATTTGAAACTTACAGGGTGAAAAAGCTGTGCTATATAAATATTACATTATTTGCTTATTAATGATGGTATGTATCTTTTCATATTTTTTTGACCATTTTTATTGCCCTGGGAAATTGACTTTTCATGCTCTTTCCTCATTTTTAAAAGTCAATCTATTTCTCAGTTGCTACTGATTAATAAGTGTATTTCCAAATTTTAATTCCCAGTGGCAGCACTGAAATCCCACCTTGGGTGTTGCCAACCAACGATGATCAGCCACAGGTACAAGCATACAATGCGTGATGATTGAGTGCAAAGCTACTGAAACACCTAGATGCATGAAGAAGGCGTTCTTTTTCTGCAAAGAGTTTTTCTTGCTGTTTTTAAAGTACTGATCCAGGGGTAGGCAGTCTTCCAGTTAGAAAATTCTTATGTTTTTCAGGCCATGCAGGCGCCATCACAGCAACTCAGCTCTGTTGTTGTAGCACAAAAGCAGCCATAGATAAAAACCGAATGGGCATAATTGTGTTCCAATAAAACCTTATTTATGGATGCTGATGTTTGAATTTCACATAAATGTCACATGACATGAAATTTTATTCTTTTGATTTTTTCTCACAAACATTTGAAAAAGGGCATGTGCAATATTCTGATAGAAGAATGCAGCATTTAATGATTAAATCAGAGTAATTAGAATATCCCTCACCTCAAGCATTTGTTGTTTCTTTGTGTTAGAAACATTCCAATTCTGCTTTTTTAGTTATTTTGAAACATGCAATAAATTATTAACGATCATCACTCTGTTGTGCTACTGAATACAAGATCTTATTCCCTGTATCTAATGGTATTTTTGTACCCATTAACCGTCCCCTCTTTATCCCCTCCTCCCCACTACCCTTCCTACCCTCTGGTAGCCATCATTCTACTCTCATAAATATGTACAACTAGTATGGACCTGTAACAATTAAAAATGAAAAATTTTAAAAAGCATTCTTAGATCACAAACTGTTCGAAAACAGGCAGTGGGTTGGAATTTGGCCTGTGGGCTGCAGTTTGCCGATACCTGCTTTAGACTTTTTCTATAGGAAACCACCAAGAGAAACTGCTAGTAAGCAGCCTCCTTAGGACTTGTAAGCCACTAAGGCCATGGACAAGACTTTATTTTGTTGCCTCATCTTCTGAACTTTTCACTTCTCTCCCTGAGTCTGCAGAATTTGGCTTCACTTAAAAAAAAAAAAGGTAGTGTGAAATGTGGGGTTATTATGTATACTAAAATGGCTAAAGCTGGAGATAGTGACACTTTCTTCGTATAGTGAGCACTCCATCAATACTGACCTCTAAGACTGTCTTGAATGGATTCAATTTGATGTTTAACGTAAGAGTATATGATGTCTAATGTCTTTGAACAAAAAAAAATTCAGCAAAGTATGATTTAGAGTTTAATGTAAAATTTTCCTGTTATATATACATATTTATAAAATATAGGTAACTCCAAATACTTTGCAATTATTTTTACAAAAATATATCATTAGAATTTTTGTTTTTTTCTCTCTTGTGGAAATTGTCATCTTAGTGAATTACAGGGTGTCCCAGAAGTCTACATACCTAGGGAAAATGGGAAATTGTACACCCTGTAATATAGTCCAAAGAGAAAGATTGTTCAGGTAGTCTTTGTCTACCCTGTAGTCCCCCAGAATCTGACCTCTGTGACACCATGTTGTGATTAATTTCAATCTATTCTCTACTCCTCATTTGATGTGTGAAGGGGTGGATCTGCCCCTTATTTTTGTCATATGCAAAATAAGAAGGTTGGATTAGTTGATCTCTTCCAGCTCAAATATCCTGGTATTCTTATAGCATATGCACATTTATGCATATGATATTAGAGTGAACTGTATTAGTCTACAGAGCAGAAATGGCTACTGCTGTTTGTTCCAGCAGTACATAGATTGTGTATCTCTTTGATGCATATCTGTGCATCTTCACTGACTTCATATCTTCACTATGTGTCTTCAGTGATAGCTTGTAGTGGTGCTAGAGAAGGAATGTGGCCACTTGGGAATACATACCATTTTGGGAGTTAAATGATTTCAGCTTTGTACTGAAATTTAACTCAGCAGGAGTTATAGAGGGTTTGGATAAAACTGATTATTATTGAAGTTCAGTGAACTTCTTTATACTACAACCCACACTTTTTATTTCTTCTGGCATTATTTTAATATTTAGGTATTGGTGTCTGTGCCTTCTTCTGTTTGAGAATCACCTCTGAGGATCACGAATAATTGAGATAAGTGATGTGAACTTTCACATGTGTTATATATTTTCTTTATATTAAAAATATCAAATAATGGCTTGTGTGGAATCATACTACATGTTATGTATATGACATGTATATATAATAGGATTTATAATGTCAGCGTATTTTATCATTTGCTTGTTATATGCAGAAGAGACTGCACAATAGCATGTAATAAAAGTGGTGGCAGCGATTATTTGTCAAATGGGTTCGATGCAGTTGTATATGGGGAGGTGAGTCATGGTATCTAATATCTTTGAACAAAGAAACTACAACAAAGTGTAATTTAGAGTTTAATGTAATTTTTTTATATCATAACACAAACAGGTTATTCCAAATAGTTAAATACCTTTCCTCTTAGTAGTTAGGCTATGCAACTTTGCAATCATATTTAATTTTTCTCACTAAGGGAAAATATTCATTAGCCCAAGTAGCAGGTATTTTCTAGAAGCTAATTAATAAGGAGTCAGTGATGGGATTATATCCATTGTAGTTTTCAAAATATTAGTTAAACCATTTTCTCTAGTGTTAAGGAAATACTTTTTGTTTTAGTATTAGAATGTCATAAAAGTAACTCTCCTTTAATGACTTTGTTTGATATTTCTGCTATTTATTGAAAAGATATTCTTTAAATCTCTACCTTCATAATGAACATTTTTATAAAATTCAGTCTAATCAAATACCATTTCAATTAGTTTAAATCCCTTAAGTTTCTGTGAATAATTAAGAATTAGTATTTATTATTGTTTGTATATGTCACTAAATTTTTGCAAGTAGTATCACAATAAGGGACTAGGATGTATAGAGAGGGAGATATATACACACATATATATCTTAATTATCACTTTTGGTAAGTACATTATATCAGGTTGATCATTCATCCTTAGTTGATTATCAAAAAATAAAATTGTGATCAATGATGTATTTTACAGTAGATATTATCATAGGATTACCCATTCGGGCAAAACTAAACCTCATGAATTCTGTATAGTTTTGCATGCAGCATGACAGTTGGATACAATTTGTTTTGCTGCTACATAGCTATAGGGTAGGTTATTTTGCTACATTTAAAGATAGCTTTTAATACTGGAAAAGTAAATAAAAAATTATTGTAGTCTTCTATTACTTTTTCAAGTTATTAACTTCATTATTTCTTAGTCAGTGTTAATATTTTTACATAGTGCTTTCTTTTAAGGAATTATGATCACCAACAGATTGAAATATTTCCTCAGTTAATTTGTTTACATTGGAGTTTCTTCACTTGGGTCACCACCATTCTGTCCCTTTTTCCTGTTTTCTTGGGATGAAGATGTTGCAGAACTGGGACACTTCACCATACTTATCAGGGAATTTCTGAAGGACTTGCAAAGGAAAAAATAGATAAATGGATCCAGGCATGCATTTAAGGAAGTTAACCACAGAGTGCTCTCCTTCACATAGAACAGAGTATTTTCAGCAGCACAGTCAAAGACATCCCGGGTTTGGCTCAGGGTGTAAGGAATTCGGGCAAAATGGAAAGGAACAAAACAAATAAAGAATACGGCAATGATAATGAAAACTTTGACATTTACCTTTTTCCTGGGGACTTTGCCTACTCCCCTTGTTCTTACATATGACTTGTACAGTTCTTTTGTAATGAGTGTGTAACATACAATGACAATTAAAAAATTAATCCAGAAAATGACTTGACAGATGTAATTGACTATTTCATGCCAGACCAGACCGAACTCTGATTTGAGGAAAGAGCATTTCTTCACATTCTTGTCTCTCGGCCTCCTGTTGGTCAGAATCATGTTAGGCAAAGAGAGTAAGAACATGAATGCCCAGATGACAACAGAGAGAATCTTAGCCCCCAAGAGATTGTTGGGATTGGATGTTTTAAATGGCCTAGTGGTCTTCTGGTAGCGATCAATAGTTATCAGTCCGAGGAATGAAATACTGATATACATCGTGAAATAAAATATGACAGAGGTAACTTGGCACACAAAGGTTCTCAGTGGTCCTGTTCCCAGTTTGGCATCACTAAGAATCTTAAATGGAAAAGTCAGAATCATGAGAAGATCGGAAATGACTGTGTTCTTAAGAAAAATAATAAAGTTTGATTTACTGCGGATTTGAAAGAAAATCCTCATTGCCAGGCTGTTTGTGATGAGTCCAACAAAAAACAGAACAGTATAGAGCAGTGGGAAGAGGACCTGGGTGATTTTGTAGTCTCTGGTGCACAGACTGCTGTTCCCAGGCATGGAGGTGAGGTTGCCGATGGCTTGCATTTCTTCTTTGCGGCCTAGAGAAGGGAGGAGGGGCTGGTTATTTTCAGACTGAGGTAGTTCATTTTGCTGGTATCTCTGTTTTTTTAGACACAGCCTCTAAAAATTGAGGTTTCTGATCTTTATTGTAGCAGTTAGTAGAAACACAGAAAACTGAATCTCAAAATATTTCATCTCAGCAAATACTCTGTCCCTAGAGAAGTGAAATGGTCTGAAGTACATTATGTGAAGCTATAGGTGCTTTGTATTTCTTATTTAAGTGTTCGTCTCTTAAAGCACATTTCGATCTTAGTCAAAGCCCATCTATGTTTATATGTAAAAGCCAGAAGGGAAATATTTTGGCTTTACTTTACTCTTTCTCAGCTTCACTTCCATGCTTTTGGCTTTTTTAGTTTCTATTCACAGTCACTTTTCCTACACCATCCTTATTCCTGAGCTTGATTTACTCTACTACCATCAAAGTATTTAAGGGAGAAATGACTGATAATTGCCCGTTAGAATTTTAAAGTAAAAATAATTAAAGAAATTGATGTAAATCATCCTTGGGAAATTTATTAAATAAATAAGATACTGAATCATAAAAAACTAGCCAAAACATTTTCCTGTATAATCAGAAGATATTCCTGCCTCTACATTGCTCAGTCATCCATTAAAAAATTGGCCTCATAAAGATTCATTATTTAGCTTCAAATATTTTAACCCATGTATATCTCATTTCCAACTTTGCTCCGTGCATTTGAAGTTATTACATACATTTTTCTTGAATATCATTCAGTAAAAGTTTTAAAACTGTAAAAAAAGAAGGATGTGGCTTGTGTATATATGGTTATCAGCTGGCATTCCTTACAACAGCCAGGACATACTTTCTAGATTTACGGGAGTGTGTAATGGTAGCTAAAATAAAATATCAAAACCACATTCTGGGCAAAACCTTGTTCTTTACTGCAGGTAACTATAAAGAAAACTAATGATTGACTTGAATATGCTATCTAAGTCTTGAAATTTGAAATGATATATGTAATCTTTTTATTCTACTAAAGACAAATGAAATTGATTCTACATAAAATATTATTCCTTATAATTAAACACAGTAGTGTTGAAAGTACTAACAACTAAATTAAAAAGAAATAATTTTCATGTAAAATATTTAAGTAGGACAATTTTCCCAAAATGTCAATGGAATTATTTTTTTCTATCCTTAATTATTGAAAGTAAAACAATCATGTTGTTACAGCGTGGCTTCAATTTTCCATACCTTCCCATCTGTTTAGCTATTTTTAAACAAACTAAACAAAACCCAATATTTTATTGACACAAGATCACTGATTTTAACCTTTCTTGCTACTGCTATTTGCTCTTACGCGTTCATTCCTTGACTGTTTTGGAAATTCTGCTTTGCAAATGCTCATTTTACATAGATTATAAATTATTTAACAAGTATTCCTGACATTAAGAAGTTCAGCTCCCTCTATCAATATTTTAATCGCATTTTATACTTAAGGTAAACTAAGTAAAATTATTTGTATTTTATTTCCATGCTTTGTATAATTTTTCTTAATGAAGAACTTAATGATTGTCTCTGACACCATTATTTCAGTTTGCATTTTAATTTTTATTCCAAATACATGCTTGCATTGATATTGTCATTTAAGGCTTACAATTTTAAGAAAAACTTGGAAAAAATTTACACACATATCCATAGTGTAAATACATATATTTGTCAAATACTTCTAGATATAACATTACCTGGTTACTCTGTTGATTCTGAAGGATTTAAATGTATCCAGTAAGTGGTAGTTAATGCAACCTGCAGGGTGGCATCTGGTATTTTCCTTTTAATGTCTTAGTTTAGTTGCCAAATCTCTGTGATAGAGAATTTGCTGAGTTTTCATCAGTAAAGTCTTGAGTGCTCTAGAGAGAAATAGAGGGAGAGAGAGAAAGAGGAAGAAAGGGCTTCACAATCAGAGATTACCTTCAAACACTGTGGACTCAAAGCTATGCAGGCACTGAATTTCTATCTGTCTGCTTTTAGGACTTCTGCTTTTATTTCCTGGTAAATGTGTGGCGAAGGTGGCTGAGAAGTCATCTTTTAAAAAGCAATTTAAAATCTTGCGGCTTTTTACTGAACCTTGCCATAGAGTTGGTGATTTATAACTTGGAATTCTTTTGGTTATTTTCCATGCACATGATAAATCCAAGTTGAGATCAAGCCTTCGAAGTCTGTGTCCTGGAGAAGGTTGCAAGCTTGCTTTCTTAGATGGTTATTTACGTGAAAACATATTGCTCTGAGCGTTGGATGATATATTTCCTTCTAACAAGTAATTACATTAACTCAAAATGTGTGCTGGTTGGGGATGTTAAAGTCTCTTGCCCTTTGTTTTTTCCCTGGTTAATAATGTCATAATTTTAAATCTGTGTTTGATTAACTCCTTTGTAGTCAAAACAGTTTTCTCCCATTATAAATTATCAGATTTCAAAATTACATTAGAAAAGAAAAGTGGTTGTATCCATTGCCTGGCTTATTATATAAGTGTCCTTCTTGCTTTTCTTAAATAGAATTTAAATGTAAACAAACATTTTTTTCTTTCTTTTTACCTAGCTTTGAGTTTTTGGGAAAATATATCATTAAATTAATGCATCCTTCTAGCACTATTATATACAGTTCTTTAACTTTTAAACCCAAAGGGCAAAGGGCATGGTAGGGACGGATTGAAGGGCCAAACTTTCTGCTGTTTTACCTTTCTATGAATATTGCTGTGCACACCCCCATGCCCCCAATGTCTTTATCTGCGGTGTCCTTCTGTTAACAGTAGAATCATTTGGATAAGTTCCTTTACCTTGAACACATGCTTTGGTTATTCTGAGTTTTGAGTCTGTCTCTCTCTGTAAATGCTAAATGTCTTCTACAGTTGTTTTGCAAAATGCAGAGTAGCAACTCAGCATCACCTGCAAACTTGCTAGAAATACACATTCTTGGGTACAACTTAGCCCCAAAGAATCAGAAACTCTGGAGAGCTCTAACCTCCGATCTGTATTTTAAGAAGCCTTCCATGTGATGCCCAGGACACTATTATTTGAGGACCACGGATTTAAATAGACATCATAATTTTGTTGCCTTTAAGAATTTGAAATTAAGCTGCGAATTTCAGTCACTTTGGTTGTAATTGTCAGTTACGTAATAATCCCTATCTGTCGATCATCTAGAGGGGTTAGTTCGATATTAAACTCTTGGAAAAGTTTATACTAAAGTTATTTTTGTTGTTAAATTAGAATGTAAACAATTCTTAATTATCTTTCATTATTTGTTAGAGACTCAAAATTATACTTTCTAAAAGAACTTTTATGCTGGGTATACTTCATAATAATAATTGCCAATATATAATTTCTTACACTGTCATTAATTAATTAACTCATTATCTCAACTACTTGCTTAAGTAAATACTTATATTATCCTCATTCTCTGGACGAGGGAAGCTGAGCAGTAGAGCAGTGGAGTTCAATGGAGATGTCGTTCCAATCCAAGCTGTCTAGTCCCAGAGCCTGCATTTGGAACTGTTCTGTACCTGAGAATCTTCCCTGTCTCACCTTTTCCTCAGCTCCCTCCCCACATTGAGACTCAGGAGTGAGAGATGATTGTCATGTGTGGCATGACTGTACTTTTTTCAATAAAATAAGGGTGATACTTGCCTTTACACCAAATTGTGAACTCAAAAGATGTTTATGATGTGTTTCTAAGATCTTTGGATGAAACAAGGCATTTAAAAGAAATCATGATTATTTTCAACAAATCAATCTTTCGTATTAAAGGAAAACTAATTTAAAATAGTTAAAATCATATTACCTTATTGAGAACTTATATTTCCAAATCCCTAGAAAGGCTATCAATAGGGATTTGAGGGATAAAAGAAAGGCTCCAGCTCTTGATTTACATTAACTTGTCTTTTCTCTGATTTTAACTCACAACCACACACCTATTTGCAAACCATCTCTGATAACACTTTTTTTTTTTTATTGGCAGATCACTGCCAGTTAGACCACTTGACCCTTGTAAAATCTTTAAGTGAAAAGTGTCTTAGGTTACAAAAGTATATTATCCTATGATTAAAAGCACAGTAAGTTATACTCTTTAACTTCTTATTAATAAATAACACATACAGTTTGTATTATTGTTCAGAACAGAACTAAATTTGATCGATTTGGTTTTTTGCTATGATTAAGATGGCTTAGAAAAAGGAACAGAGTTTTTACTTTAAAGTGATTCATTGTTTTATTTATTTCACCAAGTCTACTAAATAAAGGTAGTCTACTCTACTGACAATATTTGCTTCAAATGGGATTGCTCTAAACCCTGAGGTCCTTGTAGAACTAGGTTTTGGCGGGAGGGCAGAGACATTATAATTAGGGCATTTGATAGCTCTTAGGTTGTTTTAGTTCTAATGGCTTGTGGTTCTAAATGTCATTTTGACATTAATGAGTATTTTGATTGAGGACGTGTTTTGAGATGGTGTATAGTTATATCTGCTAGATTGGCTTTATCCATCAGAGTATAGAAATTTAGGTTAGATATACAACAGTTTCTTGGGCATTGGGGTATTTAGCAAAAGAGAATGCTATCTCTTGTGATCAAATTACCTAACATCCCAATCTTGGGTGTTTTACTTGAAAACAGTGGACTAGTATACATAGAGTTTAAACCTTCATCGGTCATACTGTGAACTGGAAGCTATTGTAGAACAAAGGTTTCCTGTACAAATCTAACTAACTCAGTTCTTGATTTACAGAAAAGGCACTTCAGTTCAGTTATGGTTATTCATGAGAAAAAGCTTCTAATTTCCTTGTTCCTTTAACAATTTCCTCATTTATGGGCATACTCATTCTTTCTCCCCAGCCCAAGGCTTATTCCTGATAGAACATTTATTTGATGTTATTTTATACAAAATCATGTGGTATTAGAGAGTCAGCTGAAAGAAAAGTTTGAAAACATCTTTTAAGAGTTTTCCATCTAATAAACTAATATTTTTGACTGAAATACATTGTTTTTAAAGACTGGTTTTTA